GGACAAACTTTGAAGAGATGGGGATAAATTATTTTCTGAAAGTCTAATTTTCATCATGTATGATTAATGGGATTCCAGATTACTATATAATGACAGCATGGTAGGTAAATGAAGGATGATTCCAGTATTTTCACTGCTTTTGTTTGTTCATTACAGATCGTCCTCTTTCTCTGGTTGGCGTCTAGTGAGATGATGTGTATCTTCCTTCGTCTGTCATCCTCACGTGCCTTGAGGATTTACACATACATAAACACACAGCCTCTAAACACATCTGCTCAGTCACAAGTTAATTCAATGTAAACAGCCGAGATCTGAGAATGACAGGCCTGATTTCTCAATGGGGTTTTGCTGAGGGGAAGAACGATGCATTTAATTGAGAGAAGGGATGTTGCATGTGGAGTGAATGATGCCGGCTGTAGAGCTTATCTATTTTACAGTTTAAGTCAGGATTAAGGCGGTGGATTTCCATTGAAGTTTAAAATGGTAAATAAGAGTCCTTTGTGTAAATATTAACAAACATTTGATCCAAATTTTGTGCAGCTGTCACCAAAAAACAAAGCAAAAATAAAAAAAATCAGGGTAAATGCCAGCAGTCCACTCTGAGCTGAGAAATGTGGGAAATGCAGTAATGTATGTATGTATTTCACCTGGCCGCCTGTGCGTCACTCAGTCGTATTAGACTGCGGAGTAGATAGTGAGCATGTTTAATGGATTAGGCTCTTTATTAGTGACAAGCAGAGATGGATGGACTACATGAAGAAAGCACAATGAGAAGCCATTAAAAATAGATAGCAGTGAAGGGCTGCCAGGGATTGAATAGGATCCGAGAGGGGGAACAATACTTTCTTACAGTCTTACAGAGAGCCAGCCTTTTACTTTCACTAGTTGTCTTTTTCCCCTCCCCGTTTTTCTTCAATTGTGGTGCACCTGTGCTGCCTGCTGGATGGGTTAATTGTGCATTTTTAATCACCTTTTCTCTCCAGCGTTTTTTGACTGACAGTAATAATCATGTCTTCTCTCCCAAATAAGAATTTATCAGAATTAACACTCGTCCCCTGTGTTGTTCTTGCTGCTTTTTGAAAAAAAATCACTTCATGCGTACAGTAGAAAACAAGGGGCTGTGACGTGGTTACTCCTATTTCAGAGATCTGCAGTTGCTGCCCTGCCAGGACTGCTGATCAAGATCAAAACCAAATGTATTTTTTACCCTAAAGATTACAAACTTCATTTGTGGCTTGGGGCGACGCCCACACAGCTGCCGAATCAGCTCAACATTTCCAAGATTACCAATGCCCCCGCAAATATATTTCTATTTCTTTCCTCATCCATTTTTGTTTACTCGACTCTCCGTTTGCACAAAGTTACACTTGATGCATGGTCGGGGAAATATATTGTGAAGATTAAATTTTTCTTTTCTTTTTCTTTTTGACAGGCATAGAAAGACTAAAAATGACCCTAAAACACCACTAAAACCAATTAGGCTTGACCACCATAGTTACTAATTTAAACAGGAAGTTGAGGGTGCTGAAAGGTATTAAAAATTAAAAAGCATCTAAATGAATTGTTGTTTCAGGACCTCTACTAGGTTTTTTTCCGCGTCTGGGTAAACAACTCGAGCACCATTGTTGGTTCCATCCTCAAGCTCCACAAAAATCACTGGGACAAAAAAGAAACAATTTGACCTCACAATTTAGTAAAACTCAGACCCCTCCTCTTACAGAAAACCTCTCAATGCTCACTTTAAAATACACAGAATCCACTCAGTCTTCTGCCTGCTTGCTAACACCTGCAAAAAGCTGCGGACATTTTAGAATGGACAAATTATATTAATGCATTGCATCTGAACCTGTGCTGGCCTCTTCTCAATCAACACATGCACCATACTCACTGATTCAGTAAGGAGATGTCATCTCCTTAAAAATCATCCCCTAATTATCGGGTTTCTTAATGTGGTTCGAAAGAATAAATATTTAATGACAGTTACATTAATTAGATTAATTGTAGGATCATCTTTCCCTGATGACTGTCAAATCTAATGAGATTGCTGTTGACAAAATTCATTATAAATGATATGATTTAAGATAAACGAGTGTTCCTGTTAAGCACCTTCACTACCCAGAGGTATTTCCCTCGTCAGCTAAGCTGTGCTATTTGCTCGGGTCAAAGTGAGTTAAGACGCAACGTTACTTTGGTGTGTTTAGCATCAAGTCCTCTTGAAAAACATCTCCAGGCTTATCCTTTTAATCCGCTCTTAGCCGCTTTTATATCCCAGAGCCTTAATTCTCTGATGAGGATACTGTAGGGGCTGGGAGGCCAGCGGGGGCCAGCTCCATCCAGAAGAGACAAGTTTGAAACAACAATACTCTAGGAATGAGAAAGAAAAATGAATCTGGATATCCCCCCACACACACACACACACACACACACACACTTCCACACTGTCCCTTGAGTCAGACTCCCATGACGAAACAGCACAATAGCACACAGTCTAACTGAATACAATAGCCTGCATTGACCGACATGCAGGTAATCCATCTTTCCTTGATTTGCAGACATGCACACAAAAGCCATGTGCTGATAGTAGCACCATGGGCTGTAATGGTACTGTCAGCTACATCCTCCTTTCCTCCCTCCCTCTTTCCTCCACCTCCGCTCTTACTCTCTCTCTCTTTCTCTCTCTCTCTATGCTGCCCCCACCACAGATGAAAACAGGTCCCCACAGAGGATACCAGCATCTCATTGGCTGGGATATCACAGGAGTGGATGAGAGAGAGAGAGAGTAGCGAGAAAGGGAGAAAGGGAGAAAGCTCAAGAAGAGGCAACTACTCTGCCACAGCATCCCGGCAGGGCACTGAGCCGAGGGATGCGAGAGGTTTTAGACACACGCGCTGTCATTTTTGTCTTGCAGATTCTCTGTCCTCCTATTGATGGAAAGCGCGGTGGACTTAAAGGATAACTTCCTCCACGTTGCTGCCGGAATGAGCTGTCCGGCTGAGAGGTACAGACAAGCAACAACTGGGTTGACTGATCTGAAGCTCTTTGGATCTCAGCGTCACCTGGACTTGATCCCTACTTGCTGACTGAGCAGCTGCTGGTGATTGCTACTCTTAATTTTGACCTATCTAGGCTACACACACCTGAGGCTCTGCATTTGCTGGAGTGAGCTCTTTCCAGACTGCACTTATTGTCTTTGGGAGAGGCATCGTTTGGAGAAGGGTGGCTGTAAATGTGTGTCCCCGCGCTGGCACTGGACTGTCACCCTCCAAGTCTCCTGCACCCTGTGAGAGCCCCTGGAAGCCACCTGCTGTGCCTCTGGGATGGTGTGACCTCCAGCCAGCTGTTGGCCATCCCACATCTGGGTCAAGATGCCGGTGATGAAGGGCCTCCTGGCCCCACAGAACACCTTTCTGGACACCATTGCTACACGCTTCGATGGCACCCGTAAGTATAAAGGAAACACTCTGACGATGAGTTGTTTTGGTACTTTGGCATCTTATCTAACGAAGGCAAAAATGTTTTAAAAAATAAGGTAGGTAGTTAGAGGATGGCTGTCATCACAGGGAATAAGCAAGACTTCCTGGTTGCAGCATACTTGTTGTTTTCTCTGCTACTGCCAGAAAGAAATTATTTGTTTTAATCACCTGCTTGAACTTGAATATCAGCAAGACACATCTGTCCCCAGGTCAGCCTCTGGTGCTCTGTGAACAAAAAAAACAACAACAACAAAAACCTGATTGGCTAAAGCAGCATCTGCTGTTGGGATACAGAGAAAAGTTTGTTTTACAGTAAGACATAAAGCAGAAGATTGACCTTCAGAAATCATGTGTGTTTTATACATTTGTTTCACACAGGTAGGTCCAAACTAGCTGCTCCAGCCACTGGGTAGCCATTTCTGCTTGACTTGTGTCTCTTGTTTTGTACCTTGTGCCACCTCAGGGGAGATTATGGCTCGTTGTAAACAAATACCGTGGGGACGTCTGTGTATTGCTCATGCTTGTCGATTCAGCCTGTCCTCCCTCTGCTACAGCAGCCTGAATGAAAGGCGGGCTTGAGGGTCTTCTTTGAGCAGGGTTCTCGGTTCGACTTGGGGAAATAAACACAGTGAAACGGGTGACATTACTGTGTAATTGATGTGTATGGTGTGCAATTATAGCTTTGACTTGTGAGTTAGGCATTCTAATGAGGCGTTAGGGGATCCCTCAAGAGCTTAAAGCACACTGACACATTGCTCATCAGGAATTGTACTTTAACACTGATGGTAGTTTTAAATACAAAATGAAGAGGTTTGTGAGATGAGAAGATACAAACAAGAGATGATGTGGGTAGTGGAAATTTCAGCTGGAGAAGCAGAGGTCGTGCCCCCATGTTGTATCTTCCCTGCTGAAGAGTCTTTCTCCCTGCCAACTCCAGAGGGCTGCTCTCTGGTTGGACCTCCTCTCTGACCTCCTAGTGGAAGGGAGCAAAAAAAATGCTTTTGGGCTCACTGTCTTTTCAAATTTGTAACATCATCAACAGCATTTCTGAACAAACTTCAGAACCTATTCAGTCTACTCAGTCTCTTAATACTAATTTATCAATGACCTTAAACGCACGAGAAAATCTTTCCTGATCTGCTATTTTCTTTTTATATTTATTCATTATTGATTGTAAAGTCTGGAAACCAGTAGTGCCGCAGGAACCTTTGTCTTTCATACGTTGTGGCATTTCATTCCTCAGCATCAACCATCCCGCAGCACTATTGTAGCTCTGGACAGGACAGCTGAGCCCACATCCACCACTTTACAGCAAATTTACACTATTGCAAACTACCATCAACCCGCTTTGTATCTGTGTTTATGTCCTGCATGCTTGTGAATAAATAACCAAATAATAGCCGTTTAGAGCAACATGAGGCCGAGATAAAAGCGTGCTGCTAGCAGCAGGATACACGTCTTTGCAACGACATGCCAGTTTTTGCCACTTCCAAGCCATTTTCAAAGCCACCATAAGGCTGTGGCTCCTAGAGGAGTGGCAGAGTGCCCACGGCTCAAAATAGCTTCCTTCCTGTTGCCGGGGCGACAGGGTCCCGCCACTTGACATGGATGATGCTTGAACACTTTGGTCTTTGAGAAAAAGATGGTCCGCTAAAGAGAAAACACTTGAACTTGCTTTCCAATCAAGGACTTTTAAAATGCAGCTGGTCTCTTGTTTTCGGAAAGACACGTGTTTAAAACAAGTGGCATTGTGGGTCGCGCAGCTGCGATCCATTTTTGGGGTCACCTTAAACAAGTTACAGGACTTATTAAAGTCCGCCATGACTCAAAAATGTGTTTTGCTTCTTGTTACAGCACTATGATATTGGATGCTCACTGTGCAGAGTGATGAGCAGAGTTTTCATATTTATCTGCTGAAGGAATAAAGTTTCTCGCTTTAAATTTGAGTTTTTTAGGCGTTTACGTACACATTATTTGTGACGTCACAAAGTTCGGAAGCCAATCATGGTTCAGTATTTAATTTCCACAAACATAATTGACCTTTTATAGTTAATAAAACAATTATTGTTTTAACGTTATGAGATTTAAAGCATTAATATAGCAGCAAACTGTTATGTAATGCTATGTAAGCATATAGTGGAGTCACAGCCTCCTGAGCAGAGAATTATGTCACACTCCCTTTGCCTGTGTTGCTATGCCAGCCTTTCTCTGCAATCTCTGGTCACGCGTCCTCATTGTGCAACTGAGTAGAGCAACTGAAATGGCAGTTTTTGTCATCTAGGTCGGTAAATTAAGGATTTATTTAGCCCATACCAGAGTTGGTGATTGCTAGAACAGTGGAAAGACGGTTTTGGTGGGTTTTATTTTGTTTCTGTCATGATGGCAAGATGGTCTGCGAGGTAAAATTACTGTTTTTATCTCTGGAGTCTGGTGCAAGCAATAGTAATTTCTGGTCTGGCAAACTGTTAAATAAAGGGAAAAAGGTCTATCTTCAGAGGGATCCTTTCTATAATGTTGACACTTATAATAGATTAATAATCTGAGCCTGTCAGTGGCAAAAACAGGCACTTTGACAGAACATTGTAACTCATTTCACAAATATTTTAATCAAATTAGCTTTGGTGAATGTTAGAAAGACTGTGTACAGACTGATGAGTTTTAATGCAAATTCTGTCCAGTTTAAAATGTATTGTTACGATTATGTGTGAGGTAAAATGAGGTTTTGAAACCAGGTGTAACACATTGATTGTGCCTTTCACCTTCAGGTAAATCACAAAACATACATTTCCTGCTGTGTGGGGTTTTGCCCATTATAACAGATACATTAGTATACCATCATTATTTGTGTGAAGCTGATAATTAATATTCAACACAGACTTAAAGGAATAAGACACATCAATTAAACCATAATAAAACTATATCACTTATGATTAACCTATGGAAAATGATTTTTTTCACAACGAATTGGACACATATGCACACAGAATGTATGCATACTTACATACAAAAACAAACATTTTCCAGCCATAACAGGTGAAACATGATGCATTTTTACAAATTGTGCAATATTCAGCACAACCAAAAATAAGCAGCAATGCTGACTGAGCACTCACACAGTCAAACATTTTTATCTAATGTGTCACTCCAGCACAGTCCCTGTTTAGACTGCTGCTTACAGTATGATATAGTAAGATTTATAGCAGCAAACTGTTCATGTTAGCATCATTATTTACATGTTTCTGTATAAAAGTGTACCGTCATTCATTTTGAGATGACTGATACAATTTTCAATACAAGCTTGAGGTAAAGTTAATTACACTATATCAAATCTTTTGTATATGTTTCTGTATGTATGAAAGTGTGTTGTGTATTCATAAATGCATCAGTGTGACCAGAGGAATGTGGAGAAATTATAGAAATTGTGATAAATAAATGTATATCAAATCTTTATGCTGACATTATTAATTATGATGCTCATGTAATAAGCATTTCTTCAAACACGTCAAAACTAAATTTACTGATAATACATAACAAACAGTATGTATTATGTATTAAAATGTGAAAAATGGAACTTAAGAGACTAAAAAGATAGTAAAAAAGATCAGCAAAACTAAAAAAAGCAACACTGCTGACTAAGCAGCTACACAGTCAGAGTTTTAATCTAATGTGTCACTCCAACACAGCCTTTTGCCAAGTCTGCAATTAAACAATGAGCACAATTTATATCAGACAGTTATTTATGTAAACATCATTATCCTATTACATTTATTCCGCAGCATATAATTAATCAGACTTCCTCCTGTATGCAAAACAACCCTGCACTGTTCCTTTGTGCAAAGCATAACCACTTGTAAACTTCACTGGGACAGAGAATAGAGCAGTTTGGTATTAAAAGCTCTCCCAGTCATTATGCATTGTGCAGCTTCATATTCCACATTTTTATGCCATCAGGGGGGTTTCAGTGCAATTTCTCCAGCTTGAGCGAGAGTTATTATTCTCACAAATATTGATTGGACTGTGATGACCTTAGGAAAGACCTTTAGAAAACTGAAAGCAATTTTAACTTAATTTTAATTTAACAGTTCCTAAAATGTCAGAACAGGTTAAGTCAGTAACCTTTGGCACAGCACAGCACAGCATTTGGCTCATGGCAATGTCAGCGTTCCTGTTCCCCAAGGATACGTGTGCATGTGTGTGTTTGTTCGTGTGTATGTAAGCTCCTGGTCTCAGGGCTGTGAGTTTGTCATATATGTTGATTTTATATGAAATGTGTCTATTGATCCCTGGAGGGTAATTTTTTAAGGTCAAAGGTGAGAGTCATGTTACAGAAAAGCACCTCTGGAGATGTAATTTGCTCTGGGACACTTCAGCAGGGCAGATGTTGGTTGTCACACCATCCAGTACTTGCACCACCAGCGTGCTGTGCCTTTCACGTGTGTTTTATAGCATCCATGCCTGTCCTTTACACCCATCCCCAACTCCTTTACACGACCTCGCCGCCGGTGTTTTCACATTGACAGCAGCGCTCGCCCTGTGGGGCAGCGTAACCACAGGGCAGCTGCAGGCAGAGATAAGAACCGGGTTTTATTTTCCCCCTAAACACTTTTCCGTTAGAAGGCGACCGAAGAACCAAAGAGGAGACAGGGAGCCAGGACTGTCAGACTGAACCTTATGGAGCTCATTGTTACCCAGCTGATGAACGGGTCTTAATAGGCAGCTCCAAAAGGCCAGAATACTGCAGACAGGAGCGGAGTGGATAGCTTTTGTGTGCCCTCATCCTTTGGTGCTTCTTTTGAAGCTCCTGGTATTTAGTTTTACAGGTTTGATCTGAGCATTGATTTGCATCGTCAAACTCTTTAACTGACGCTGAGATCATTCGGTAATCGCAGGATTTGTGGTTTGATCCCTGGCTCCTCCTGAATATGTAAGTAAGACACTGAAATCTAAATCGGCTCCTGATATGCAGGTCTGCACTTTGCGTGGCAGCTCCGCCTCCATCGGTGTGTGAATGTAGGTGTGAGTGGGTGTGCACTGTTCTCAGAATAAAGGCGCAACATAAATGCAGTCCCTGTGGCTTTTTTTATGGTTCAGATCACAACAGCACAAACAAGCTCTCAATAATCATTATTTGGACCAGATGTTGCCTTTGTATGTCATTTTAAAGCCCAGAACATGTTTTTTTTTTATTAATGACTGACATCAAAAATACAAAACAGTTGATTGATTTCCACTGATTCTCCTCACGCCTCTTTACCAGACCAGTGACCTTTTCCCCCGCAAGTCCACCTCTCTTTGCACTCTCTCCTTTCTGGCCCAATAAGTAATTACATGCTGCTGGGTGGTAATTAGCTGATGAGGCAGTGGCCAAGCCTCATGGGCTTCATCTGTCTTTAATACACCGAGGAACTCCTGCGACACGGATGTGATGCAGGCTGCTTGTTGTTAGCTGTAGCATGTAGCGTCATCATGTCAGATTACAGTTGTAGCAAGTCAGCACAGATGTGTAATTAAGGAAGCTGGCGCAGCAGAGCGGCCACTCAAAGCAATATCCCTCAGAGGATTACGGCCTAAGAATTGAGGCATTGTCACAATCTTAGCACACACACACACACACACACACAGAAATGGTTTGTCAAGTGGGGGGGAAATAAGTATGCAATTGTAGAAGCTGAAGTGAATGAAGTGAGATCCTTGAGTAAAGGTTTGTTTCCAGGTAATAAAATTGTCTGCTCACAAACAAGATATGCATCAATATCTTAAAGATAATTTGGTGTATTTGCTTTCTTTTCAGAAGTTAGATGAGAAGATTATTATACCATGTCCTGTCTGTATGGTAAATATGTAGTTGGGGCCCGCAGCCAGTTAGCTTAACTTAGCATAAAAGTTTGAAACAGAGGGAAAGGCTAGCCTGGCTCTGAGCTTAAGCTGACTGATTACTAACTAACTCACTGCTAACTGGCTTCTGGCTTCATATTACCATACTACATGTGAGTGGTATTGACCTCCTCGTCTTACTCTTTGCAAGAAAGAGAATAAGTGTATTTCCCGAAATCTCAAACTATTGCTTGAAATGCACTTTACTCAAGCTACAAACTGTAAAATTATCAAACATCCTAACTTGAATAAAACCACCCTGAATCATGCAGGTAACTTAACAGATAACACCGTTTGCGTACTGCCAAATTTTTTGCTGGTTGGTTTTAATACATCCTCACAAAGTAATTTATGACTACACCTGCCCTTGGCCTATTTGAAGGACCGATTTAGGGATGCTGAGTAGAGAATGTACCTATTCTTAGGTAACATTACATAAACCAGAGATGAATGCGGTTGCTATCCAACACTTGCTGGCTCACTGAGTTTGGGTGTTAGAAATTTATAGCACATGAAAAAGAGGTCATGTTTGTTTTTGGTTTTTTACCTAGATAGGCAATCACATCGTGCTCAGCCATTGTTTCTAGGGCGATTTTTTTTTTTAGATGTGAAAAGGCAGAGACAGTGTTCCAGAGCAGTTTGTCTTCAGAGTTATGATTTAATGTGCAAAAAAAAGGCTTCCACATGATCAAAAGCAACAGTTACCAGTCTCTCTTCACGAAACCAATAAACACAAAGATGTGCAGCCGACTATAGAATAGAAATATCTCAGCAACAGCAGCAATGCAAAGCAAAGATATAATACCTCTGCCTGTTGATGGATCCAACTAATGCCTGTCTCTTCCGCAGTGACAGTTTAGTTGCTGCTCACTGCACACCCAAGAAAGGTTGTCACCGCTCAGAGAAGACATCCCCTATGGACTGCTGTTTGCTTAGCCTGGCCAATTAAAGTGCTAGATTGTGTTGTGCGCTGCAGCAGCTGCTTAATACTCCTCCTTCTAAGGCTCTGTGGAATCTGGAGAGAATTCAGACGAGTCTCTCTGTATGTACTGTATGCATGCTGCTGCTCTGCTGGGCATTCAGAAAATGTGCAGTCAGATGTTTACAGTAAAAGAAGTCTGATGCCTTATTACTGAAAGAATGAGCAAACAGATATTCATAAATGTTTCCATAAGTATGTATTTATGCCTGATCAATAGATATATAAGTGTGGTATTCTCACCCAAGTATTTCTGCAATAAATAGAGGGTAATTTCCAAGACCTTAGTTAGCAAGCTAGAAGAAAAGTTGAAATGGGTAACTAAAAGTGATGGATATACGTCCGTGTAAGGGACCAAGCAGGCAGACATGAGGACGATTTTCAAATATAGTAATTTTATTCACCAAAAAATATGATAACCAATTTACAAAATATACAATAAAGTTACGGGTCAACTAGCCAGAACTTATCGCTACATTAACTTAACAAACTGAACAGAACCAACCTACTAAACTGAGACGTTGGGGAAACCTAAATAGTGGATGATCAGGCCACTCTGATACATAGGGTGAATAGACTGAAACATAACATTTAAACAAACTAGACAAACTAAGATAACGCAGTCGAATATTAACTAAGGAAAAATACTTAAAGTCCAAACATCGACATTGTCTTGTATGGATTCACATGTTGCAGCCGTGGATGCACCACAGCCACTTCTGTTTCCGTGCTGTATCTGCAGAGAATGGACTAAATAACAACATACTGCACTCCAAAGTTCAAAGCTCATGTAACTGTCGAGAGGTGTTGCTTCAGCTGAAGCATGTGGTCATTTTTCAAGCTGTCGGCTATTAATCTGTCTGTAGAGGTTGTGTTCCATTTGTCAAATAGTGCAAAAGTGGAAGTCCCTTAATTAGTTTTTATCTTGTTTTAGCACCACTGTGTGTGTTGCGGTGTATTCTGTTTTGAAATGTGAAAGAACTGAACAGGTCGTATTGTATTTTTCTTTGTTTAAAGCTACTTCCACTGGTGGCTCTGGCAGACAACATAGCCAAATTGTTTGCCTAGTAAAAAAGCACACACTGCAGCAAGAACCAGCTTCAGCTTATCAGGGTCACTTGAGTCTAGCAACTGAGGGAAAAGTGTGACGTCAAACTATCACCAAGATTAATATATATGTAGGTATGCAGAACAGAGGGCTGCCTGGTGCTGTGTGTTTATGTCCTGCAGACAAAAATACAGCAAGAAAACAGCACAAGTTACAGGCCTGCTGCTGGAGAACTGTCCGTGGTGCTGAAAGCACGGGAGGAAGCGAAGCAGAGATGTTTTTGTGCTGAATTCAATATCTGCATCCTATGATTGATGTGACGTAAAAACCAGCGCACCGCCACTTTAATCTGACATTTGGACGTGTGGATCGTATGGCTCTTCATCAGGTCATGGAGGCACACACTGCATCTTTTTATCTGTCGCTCTACAAGCACAGCATAATCTGCAACATCAACATCCAAATACATGATGAGTTTAATAATAAGTAACCCTAAAGTCTAAAATTGTTGTCAAAAGTCTAAAATTGTTGTCTAAAGTCTAAAATGTCGCTTATACGAAGGTAAAATGGATGGTGGCTTAAGTTCAGCCATTCCTAAATATTTCGCCTCCTCTCGTTTATTCAGATATATTCCTCCACACTTTCATGCTCTCCTCTATTATGCAATATATTTTTTTAATTAGTACAGAGTCTGGTCATTTATGGGTCCACATCACCCAATCAGTTAAATGGGAATCAATCACTAACCTTTGTGCTCCTTTTAATCTCCAGTCAGCTGTTTTTATATCTCGCCGTCTGCAGTCCAGGATGGCGATTCCTTCAACTGCCTACATCAGAAGTCCTGACCACCACCAAACGAGGACCCGGGGGGAATTAATTTAGCCCGAAATTGAGTCTACACCAAAGTCTGATTCATGTTTACTTTGAACTTGTAAACTAGTGTTGAACTAAACCTACAAAAAAAGGCTTTGATATGAGTTCAAACAGCTAAACAGGCTTTGATTCTAGTGCATAAAACAAATTTGGAGTCAAACTTCAGACTAAAGCACAATGCATCCAACTGTTCATGATTTCTTACTCAATGGCATTCAGACATATTTGAGCAAAAACACACCATAAAGTTCTCAATTTGCGGCTCCTCACGTTGGCCTTGAACCCTAACTCAAATACCTTTTTCTGCCTCCATGGTGCTCCACTTCTGCTAACACTTTTTCCTGCCCCTCCCTCCTCCTCCTCTCACAGACAGTAACTTCCTGTTGGGTAACGCCCAGGGCCACCGCGGCTACCCCATCGTCTACTGCTCGGACGGCTTTTGCGAATTGACGGGCTTCACAAGAACTGAGGTGATGCAGAAGAACTGCAGCTGCCGCTTCCTGTACGGGGCCGACACCAGTGAGCACGTGGCCCAGCAGATGGAGAAGGCTCTGGAGGGCCGAGAGGAGTACCAGGCTGAGGTCCACTTCTACAAGAAGAATGGTTGGTGTATTGTAAAGAAAGAAAAAGCCTGTTTCTACGTAACTTGTAGACCTCAGCACTTTGTTTCATTTAGAAGTAAAGAGGTCATCAGGCAATTAACTTTCCTGTCATCTTTTGTTCAGTTGATCAAATTCTCCTGTTAACTGGGGAAATGGTGAGACTTTTAGATGCTCTTCTGTTGTGATCAGGCTGTGATCATCTGTTCAGTTTTCAGAGTGAAATTTAAATTGTGAGATTTCTTTTTTTCTTTTTTGTTCTCGACATCATGTAGAGCGCATTTATTTTTAGACGAGAGCTGGTAGAATTATGATCTCCGCAGTGATGCAGAATTTTAAACAGAGCTTCTTTTGTTGGAGTTTGCTAGCTCATTATTTATAATACAAAAAACATCAGATGAAGTGAAAATTTGCTGTCGGCTCATCTTAGTGACCCGTTCAACATAGGTGCAAAAGGTGCTGAATGGAGAAAACTTGGGTGCTGGAATTAACAGGCTTAAAGTCAGTCAAAAAACAGGACACAGTACTGTGCAGGCTGTCTCTGTGTGTGTTTATTAAAGTAGCTTAGATCCAGAATTTAACTAATTCCTTCTGACTTCTAGATAATCCTTCTCACATAGTTGGACCAAAAATACGATGTCGTGCACGAAAAGAGAGCATACAACAATGTTTAAGCCCCTCTGATTGGTGCACAGGGATTAAATTCACTCAACATAGACCGCAAACCTACAACCTCAAAGTGTGTGAACTGCTAATTATACTGATGGATTACCAAATCTGTACTGTGGCAAAGAAAATATGCATTTTTCTTACTTCTTCTGCAACAGTAAGTAACAGTAAAGCAAAGCCACTGCAACTAATGAGGTGAAAGACACGATCATTTATAACATGACCAAAAATAATACAATGAGCGATAGAAAAGCAAAAGAGAACAAAGACAGTGAAAATGAAAGAGAAGCAGTACGATTTTAAAGCTAGAATCCAACTGGCAGATATTCATGACTGGTACAATATTTTCATGATAAAGTCAGACATTAAAAGAAATTCAGCAGACGCACACACACACAATCCTATCGAGTGTGTGCCTGCTGCTTTGCGAGCACAAAACACACACAAATAGCTTCTCTGTATTTGTATTTACACCCACAGCCTGGTGCTAAAACACCACCATCTACACTGTTCTCTTACCCTCTATCCTCGTCTGTGCGCGCACACACACACACACACACACACACACACACACACACTGCACACTGGGGACACTGTAGGAGATGTGAAACATCTGTTTGTTGGCAGAGTACAGTTTCTGCAGAGTTGCTAATGAGCGTACTGGGTTATGGCAAGGTCTTGGATCTATGGTGCGCCTTCACTGCCTGACTTGTTATAACCATCCCTCGCGCTTGCTCTTTCTCTTTCTCCCAAACATGATCCATATCCAGTTTGTGGTGTATTTTTAGAAAGGCTATGCCATACTTAACAATTATCCATGGCTCAGATATGGTGGGAGCTGACATGACATGGAAAAAATCACAGTCCTGGATGTGCCTGTTGAGGATTTGCATTAATTCACCAAATGAGGAGAGAGAGAAAAAAAAAATCCTGCACTAAACGGACATTTCTGATTTTGTTCCAGGTGTGGCCTTCTGGTGTCTCTTAGACATCGTGCCCATAAAGAATGAGAAGGGCGAAATGGTCCTCTTCCTCTTCTCGTTCAAGGACATCACTGACACCTATGGAAGGAGCCACCACAACAGCAGGAAGGACGGTAGGCTACAAGCCCTGTTTACAAAAAAAACTCCCATTATTTGCCTATGTTGAGCATGATTTATGAGTGGGCCATCCTCCGGCCCCCGGCTTTCATTTTCCCCGTGCACTCTTGTTCATCACTGTCACATTTCACCCGGCAGTTTCGTTTGGGCTGGCATTTGTTCACTGAACTCAGACAATGTTTTTGCAATGGGGGAGTTTGATTTGGGCCGCGGTGTGTCTTCAAGTGGAACCTGGGCACAGTCTGCCACACATGCCAAGCTCTGTGCCAGGGGAAACAATATTCAGCACATAAAACCTGGCAGAGTTCAGGCATTGCATTAAATAAAGTGTTAAGTGTTCTTTGTCAAATTTCTTGTGACACACTCTTGTGATCTAAATGACATGCGCTGATCTGAGTGACTGTGTGACAGGCTCAGAGGACAAGAGGCGCAGGAGGAAGAGCGGCTCTCACTTCAGCGAGGCCAGGAAGCGTGGACGCACCATGTTGTACCACCTGACCAGCCAGTTCTCGAGGGGAGGCAAAAGAGAGGTCAACCTGGGTGGCGTGAGTACTTTTACCACTCTCACATACGTCCTGATGTGGCTTTGATGGTCTTTGCATGTGCCCCTTTATATACCCTCTGTGAGATTAAACAGTCAGCAGTTACTCAGACATGCAGCGCCCTCAATCTCGAGCTTGAATTATTAATGCTGATATCTAAAAGATGAGTTTTTAGGAAGACAATGTGAGGGAAGTCTTGACCCAGATTCCCAGTGTAGCTTATCTCAGTGGAAATTTCATCAAATGGGTTTGCTATTTTCAGACTCCTGAATAGTTTTAATCTTGCTTCTGTTGCATTTTTTTTTGCATGATAGTTGTTTGGTGGCTTTAAATAGACAAATAGCAAAGGCACTGAGAGAGAGGTGGTTTCTGGGAGGAACAAGATGTATGTCACAGACAGTGAGGTGTTACTGGTTAAACGGGAAGCTGGATGCATCATTATCATCACTTTCTTTTGGGACTGTCTGGACATTTTAACACCTCACCAGTAGGAGCTCCGGGATATAGGTCATTATGTCACCAGCATGTTCCCTTAAATTACCTTTACCCTTAGGTCCAACTAAAGCTGCTGTGTCTAATGCTTCAGTATCGTATATATGTGCAATCTGTAGGATAACGTATGGTTATAAGACGAAATGGACTTCAGAAGTGTCTCATTTTGCCCATGCAGTTGCCTTCAAGTGTGTTTGTGTTTCAAGTGCCTTAAGAGGCTATTTGTTGTGGTAAAATAGACCCCAGCTACGGTCTGTTTCATTCCCACGTGTCTTGTTTCTACAGAACAATGGCCTTTGTAGGCTTTGAATAATAAAGTTACACTCCAAGCAATGTTATTCATGAGAAACAGCTCCTGTTTTGCTCTCAGATACAAACGGGAACAGTTTTTCTAGCGGAGCACCGTTTTGAGATAATCCCGCTGCCTCCCTGCAGAGGCTCAGTTACCAACTGGGTCTGCACTCAAACCTGTCCTTCACAATGTGGCGTTTGATCCCAGGGGGCTAAAAGCAATTCAGAACATTTCAGGGGTAAATTAAAATGTAAAAAAAAAAAAAAAAGGATGTTGAAAGCCTGTGAGACATGTGTGATTCAGGAGGCTAATATTAGCATTTGACAATGAAAAACGTGTGGGAGGGGAGGAAAGGCTGTTGTGTCGTTTGGAGATTCATTTACCTTTTATGTGCCTGAAGCACTGAAAGCACTTGTTCATTTTTGCACTAAAATTGAGAAGCCCAATAAAATTGTTACCAGAGTAGCACTCTAAAAAATTTTTTAAGTGCCTCTTTAATGGTATGCCCATTACCTGACATCAAATTCTGACTTTCCCATAGTCAGTGCTGTTAAAACCTGCAAAACATGACAGAATCTGACATGAAAATTGCCTTTTAGACACTTTTTGCAATTTTGCAGTGACTGGTCAAACTGTGTTTGCCAACTGATACGTTAAAGACTACCAACCATTCATAACAAAAAAAAGAAGCAAGGACGAAAGTCAGAATACTTTTCAGCACTGAAGAAGTACTGTACTTAACTGTTAGGGGCCCAAAGGAAATGACCTTTACTTTAAACCATACATTTAAATTACTAGTGCTGACATGATTAGGCAATTAATCAAATAGTTGAATTACATCAAATGAATTAATTGAGGAGGTTAATGTTCAACCTCATCAACCCCCAATCATTCCTATTCTCAAGTGAGAATAGTAGTAGTAGTAGTAGCTCTGTGAAACTGTGATTTCCAATTCGTTTTACTGTTTTGTGACATTTTTTAAATCAAATTATAAAATGTGTAATTGGAAAAAAGCATTAGGTAACTCCACAGTTAAAATAATTCTTAGTTGCAGCTATTTAAAATACCACAATTATTCAAATAAAATTGCAAAGTTTTCTGAAAAGCCAGTGGTAACATGCCCTCACATGAACCTGTACGCCGCTGACCACCTCCAGAAACAAAAGCTCTGCTGTTGCTTTCAGATCCAACCTGCAGGTGCTTTCATGGGAATCAATGTGCTAAACCAAACCTCCTGCTGCCATGCTTCCAATCCCACCTACTTACAGACGACTCTGTTCACTGACACCTTACATGCACCGTACACACACCTGTCTGAATAGTGCATGCACTTCCACAAAAACATTCACACATATAACAGCAAACGGGTAAACGACGGCTCGCCCTCTGAGGAGAGAGCGGAGACAAACATATGGCAAAACATTAACACACTCGGATGAATCAGAATCAGATGCACAATATTTATCATTCAAATTTTATTCTGGCACTCTCACCATGAGACTGTATTTTCACACAAACACAGTTTCTCTCTCACGTATGAATGTATAGAAATGATCTGGGAATAAGAAATCCAGTAATCTGAGTTCATGCTCTGTCTCTCCTCCTCTCCTCTTCATCACAGATGCACAAAGTTAGACTCTTCCATAACCTCCACTGGTCATCCATTCATCCTACCTCCACCACTAGCAGAATTGCCATTTTAAAGCGTTTATTAATCGCCACTGAGTCTATAAAAAGGTAAACTGTGCCAAGTGCATCCTCACAAAAAAGGATGTAGATGAACAACCTATAGCTCACAAATAAAAAAAAAAATCACATTGTAGCTAAGAGGAAATTCAAAGTACCACATCAGCAGATCCTGGATTTCCGTTCTGACTAACTTTTTCAACTTTTGAGTCACTTTCCAGTTAATTCTAGGCAGAAGAATACAAGACAGCACTTATGCCTAATTTATTTGTAACCTTAGGGGAATAACAGTAGCATACAGTACGACTATAAAGAGTCATTTCCAGCATAAGCACACATTCAGAACAAGGCTATGTTGATGAAGCATATAAAAAATGTAGGAAACCAAAACCAAAACATCTACGAGTTAGAATACAAATCAGATGCATTTGTGTAAGGTGTTGTTTTTGTTTCTCTGGGTCTTTGACAGCTCATTTCACTCCGTCTTGTGATTCTATCAGTGACTCTGGAAAACCTTTTACCTTGCAGTCCTGTCACCGGCGTTAAACAGATACAAGGCAGTGTGCGTGGGAATCAGATGCAAAATTATAATAATGCAACACGCTCGCGATTAAACAGTTTGCTTGTTTGTATGCATGGGTTTTTACCAAACCCTCTGCATTGTGTTCTGTCTTTTTTTATCTCTTACCCTCATCCTTTCCAGTGCCCTCAGTTTCCCTGTTTTTGGCTTTAACCACCCTCCTCTTTCTCTGCTGCTTTCACACATTTTCTCTCCCTTTCCATCTGTCACTCTACCCTCATCTCATTTCAGCATTATCCCTCTGGATCCTTCTGTTTCCCCCCATAATGTATCTGTCACTCTGTAGCCCCCCATTTTCTTTCTACTTTTAAATTATTTCTCCTTTCTTCTTTCCTACTGCAGCTCAAAAATTTAAGCTCTCCATCCACCCCAATACTTAATTTTTAATAAGTTCAATTAGTACAAAGTAAGTACAAGTATACACGTACTGAACTTGAGGACTCGCTTTTGTGCAAGTTAATACTTGGAAACTCAGAGGGAAAAATGCTGTTCTTTTGCAATGCTATAAGGATTTTATATAAAATCGTCATGTAAAACTTTACTAATTTCACTGAGGTTGTAAATGCAAGACTTCTTATTAAGTTGCAGTTTACAAATAAAAAAAAAAAGCACTAATATACATTAAAAAACAGTTTGACCATGTTCTAATTCTGTACGGTCGTTATATTAAACTGTAGGTTAACAGTAAGCGCACTCAATCGACAATTGTTAGATAACTCTTGGTTAAAAGTAATCTAAACTCACGTTAGAGAAGAGAAAATATGAAAAAAACTTGTTGAACGTCGCAAAGGTTGGTTTCGGGTAAGGAAGACATACAATGCAAGTACTTTTTGAGTTATCCTGATGTATAAAAGAGCTAACGTTAGCTAATTCCAGCCATACCTCCAGCAGGGATGCGAGATTCCAACAGCACTTAACAGCCAGTTAGTTAGCTTAATGTTAGCTAACTCTTGGTTAAAAGTAATGTAGCATAAGCTCAACAATGACGGGGAGGTTGTTTTGTCCTTGAATTGCAAACTTTTTGTGCAATAATCCAATATTATAAAGCGAGACTACGTAGTGTCGAAGGTACACTGATAAAAAATTCACAGCCATATTAACGTCCAAAGTCTTTCGCTACAACTTAGACGGCGTATCTGTGGCGATATCTGTGGCGATATTGAAGTGACAAAAAAATTAAAGCTAAGAGCTACAAAAGACAGGATGACGGTACCAACGCTACGATTCTTCATGCAGTGCGAGCTCCAAACCCTAAGATGGATGAACAAACTGAACTCTTTAAAGGTTTGGTGAAGCCAATACAACAGCAATTAACGAAAACAAGGAGGAAATCGCTGTGCTTCAGAAGAAAATTGGTGACCTTCAGAAAGAAAACAACTCACTAAGAAATTCATGTGAAAAACAAGCCCACGCTACAAAGGGAGATGGATCTTGAGAATGATTGGTCTTCCTGAAAAAGATGGAGAAGACACAAGGGAAATTGGGGATACTCACAAGAGTTATGCCTCTGTCTGTGGATTGGCTGCGAGAGACTGTGGATATGGAAACCTCAAACAACCTCAAACTACAGAGAACCGCTCAGGAGGACATCTGGAAGAGGTCGAGAGGTGTGAGAATCCACTAAACGTAAGGTTGTTGGTTCGATCACCGGCTCCTCGCGCCACATGTCGAAGTATCCTTGAGCAAGATACTGAACCCTGAATTGCTCCCGATGTGTGAATGTGTAACACTGAGTTAGTTTCTGTTCGATGGGCTTGAGTGAATGTGTGTGAAAGGGCGAATGTGGCATGTAGTGTAAAAGTGTTTTGTACGTCTTTTTTACAATATATTTTAGAAGGAAACATTTTCCCACTATGAGCCAAAGTTTTATCACGCTCATCCCAAAACCCAACAGGGGTAAATTTCATTGGATAACTGGAGACCAATAACAATATTATGTAATGACTGAGGTGT